AAAAAAAATCATAATTTAATAGAAAAACTACTTTTTTTGGGCCATTTTCCATTGTGGTACACTGTTGCCATATGGCAACGTTTTCCTAAATCCCCCCCATTTTTTTCCAAAAATCTGTTTTGATTGTATAATTGAAGCTATTTCATGTAATAAAAACTTATTTGAAAAACATATTTCATAGTTAGAACATAATGCATACCATAGAGGGTCAAGTCAGGTCAAGTCACCATTATATATATACTGTATATATATATATAGGGCTTTTAAAAATACAGATTGTGTCAAAGCAGCTTTACAGTATTAAACAAAAAATTGCTTTGCGCACCAAAAAGACCGAATACACAGGAAACCTTCAACCACCATTGGATACCTTCATCTTAAAAGTCTGTTGAGATAGTATTTTTTTTTTTTAAGTGAAACGAGTAGAGGCTTAGACCTGGAAACAGCATTCCTTGCATCACATCTTAACAAAGTTTACAATGTCTGCTTTTTAATCTCTAAAAAGTTGACCCTCTTCACTGCCATTGTAATAAGTCCCTCGCCATGAACTTGAATTTGTTTTGTTTTTAAATTTTGACGAAAAAAATCTATTATTTTTGTAATCAGCCTTCTGCCACAAATGCTGTCAAATAAGCATAAATTGTTTTGAACCCAAAATATTCCTTTAATAAAACAAGAATACTCACCATAGACAGAAACACTGAATGTTTTTGATGACAACTTATCTCCACTTATCTGTAATTCATAATGTCCAGCATGTTCAGATGAGATGTTTGTGATGGTCAGAGATGCAGTCTGTTTGTCCAGCTTCAGTCTGTTTCTGAATCTCCCAGTAGGACCATTAAATGTTGAGAAGATTTGGTCCTCTCTACTGATTTCAGCTATGAGAGAGTCTTCAGCTCCAAATTTCCACAGTATGTCGTCATCTTCATGTATTTCAGTAACATCAGAGTTTAGAGTGACCGAATCCCCCTCCATCACTGACACTGACTCACCAAACACATCTGATGAACAA